ATTAACTCGAAATGAACAGAACCGTCTGTAACAGCGCTTACATGAGGAGAAGTGGGAAGGGAAAAGTCATCGGGTGAAAACTATGGAAATCAATGAAAGAAGAAAGACCGACGAATATATTGTTTATATGAGATGGTTAATAAGAAAACAATCAATAGCCTTATTGGTTGATTGAATGAGCAGTAGGAGGAATTTTCGAGATGGGCGTGGCTACTACGAACGATCAGAGTTGGACACCGGACTACAACTTCAAATAACGATAAACGAGTGTTTGAATGGTCAATTCTTAACCTGATTTATCAACACAAGCAGCTCAAAGCAGCGAGCACAAGTCAGGAAAAGTGTCAAGGAACACGCTTTAAATTACCTTATAGCAATTGAAAAAAAGGAAGAAAAGGTTACAAAGGTTCCTAATCAATAGTCCTGTAAGTTGAATGGAGGAGCAGAACTCAATCAGAGATCAGCTGAGAAGGTCGAGCACACAAGGGCAATCTCCACAATCAAACTACAACTTCAAAAAACGACCATTGAAATGAAATGGAGGATCTGTATTGAAATGCTTTTCAGATCCTGGATATTTTAAAAACATAAATTTTAAAATTTTTTTTGACACCTGTACACGGAGGGTGTACAAGTGCTGTGTACAAGTGTTGTGTACCTGCTGTGTACATGTTCCTCCGTGTACATGTAGAAAATCCATATGGGGTCTGCTGGAGCAGTGGTTAGTGTGCCACTGGTATCCACAAGGTATGTTCGGAACTGTCAGATGCCTAGAGACTCTAGGGATGTGCACAGCCGGGTCGAGAAAGGACTGTAGTAGTTACCTATATCTCATACGACAAAGGTTGTTTGTAGTAACTGAGTGGGTGTAGGTAAGGTGAAACGAGTTGTTTGCCAACTGAAAAATATTTTATTTAAAAAACTTTTTTTTATATTATATATATAATGATGGATATTACTCCTCACCCTCATTTACCCGCTTCCCTCATATTCCTCCCTCTCTCTTTCTCTCGTTTTACCTTTCTTCATCATTGTATATTCTGTGCATCCCAACTTCGGAAATATCGTCTTCTAGAAGAAAAGAAGTTTTTTGTATTTTTAATCAAGTCTCGAATAAACCATATCTATCAGTAAAACCATCTATTCCCACTTCAACTAATCAACTACAACCAAGCATAAAAACCTTGTGAGCTTCAGACACAACAAGTACTTCATGACCAAAAATATCTTCGAAACGTGATCACAACAACGCTATAAACATGAAACAACAAACAAGAATCTCGATGATAACTGCATCAATAAAAGAAAACACGTATACTCTCATTGATCTTCCTCATTCGTAAAGTTATAACACAGCTATCTGTACCATTGGGACAAGCTTCAAAAAAAAAAGGCAGAATTTTCAATCAATTAATAAATTAACTATTGCGATAGATTGCAGACGCTCGTATGAACTCAAGACATTCAAACTGAAGTTATGAGGTTTAATAAGCAAACTCATGGTACTATACTTCACACACCTCACAACTGAGAGTCACAGCTATTGCGAACGATCGTAGACGGTTACAAATAATCGCAACTAACAAAATCTAGCATACCCCATCCCTACTAACATCATCACTCTTGTCCATAAACCATTGGACAATAGTGGATAAAAAACTTTCGAAAAAGTTTAGTTGGGGCGGAGCAAAAATGACCTATTGATCAATTCAGGACCAACGACATCACCCGTTGTAGTTGAAAAGACTCGGAAAATACAACTTCAAAGAGAAAAAAAAACCACGTTGGTTGAATTACTACTTTCAGAATATAGAGAACTTGTAAAGAAACTTTATAATCACTTGACAGGTAAAAAAAACAATAAAACGATTTAAGGTGCAGTATAAGGCTTGAAGAGGTTTTGGCTGAACTCAGATATTTGATCTGACCCACGTACTTCTCTCTCTAGTAAAGGCAATTTGGTTACATGAAAATCTTCGTAGAGATCAGCAATCTATAACGAAAAGAAGAATTCATGATTTGGGATGAAGTTGATAACCTGTTCCAAATATTTTGACTGAATATTGAAGCGCGATTTGCACTTCTTACATTGCACACATCCTTCACTGTCTTTGTCAGGATAGAGCAGTTGATTCACAACAATATTATGAGTATCGATTCCCTGAAATGATTAATGTAACAGAAACGCTGAAACTTCAAAGTAGTTTACTTGTTTAGTAAGTTCCTGAATCAGACGTTCAGTTTCATAGAGCGAGAGGAACTCAGCAATACAAACACAAACGAAAGTGGTAACATCAGGATCTTTAAATTGCACATTGATTCTTTGAACTAATTCCATGGTTTCATTGATTTTCTTCATCGTCTCGTCAATATTCATCTCTCCCATTCCCAGAACACCAGAGAGCTGTAAGCTTTAACTATGCTTCATAGGAACCATGAATCTTACTTGACCAATCATTGGTCCAAGTGAACTTTGGAGAGAAATGATTTTGGAGAAAGCTGCTTCAATCAGTGTTGGGAATTGCAATAAACGGAGTGTATGTCCAGTGGGGGCAGTGTCGAACACGACAACATCAAAATCCATTGAGTTGATCAATCTGATTATAAGATCCTATTGATATTAGTTGACAAGGTCCTCTTACCTGATCATTTCTGAAAAACTCATAGCTTCATCTATTCCTGGGAGACCACCCATCATGTTCTGAAGGAACTCTTTGTTCATTCCTGGAAAACCTCCACCTTCAGTGAGTGAACTGAGAGCAGGGATTGAGGAACTTTCGGAACTTATGTTGGAGTCGATTTCCTGAGAAGAAATGGTTACAGATGAAATAACACTGCTTGATATTTACCAAGGCATATAAGTTTTCGAAGCCATTGACAAGTTGAGGGTTCTTGCTGAACTTCTGATTGAAGGCATCGGAGATGTTGTGAGCAGGATCGGTGGAGATGAGCAAAACGTTCCTCCGAACCTTAGCTAACTGAGCAGCCAATGAACAACTGAAAGAAAATTGTTTAAGATAAAGATAGCGAGACAACCTGCAAGTAGTCTTTCCAACCCCTCCCTTTCCACCAACAAAAATCCATTTGAGAGTTGTTTGCTCAATAACATTTCTCAGGGAAGGCTCCAGACCTTGGGATGACATCTTAAAAGTATTCTAAACAAAGCCATAGATAGAACAAGAAAAATACGAAGAGTAAGGAAACTCTTCTTCGTTAACAACAACGAAAGCAAACGTTTTTGATTAAAACTTCATCACTTGAAATTATGCTCTTCTTGGGCGCATTAATGTCTTCTCAGATTAATAAACACAGAACACAATGCGAACGCTATGAGAGAGGAAAGAAAACAAAAGCAAACCAGCGAAATAAAATCAAACAAAACACACAAGGCTTGCAGAACCACGAAAAGTCCCTCCTCAATATATCACAGAGTCTTGAATAGTTAATTTGTACGAACAAATGAAGAGTAAAAGATAGAGGAGGGCTGAGTGAGAGAAAGAAAGGGAGGGGGAGCAAATCACCATATAAAGCACTAAATAATTAAGTTAATATAACCCGAATTAACATTAGAAACTTCAAGAATTTACAAAACCATTCTCCCAAGACACATAAATGAGGATGATTGTTCGAATGTACAGATTAAACAGAAATCTGACGAGAAAAAGATGAAAGTTTTCACCTGTCCCAGATAAGGTAAATATGCTAACAAGCTAATTTCAAGAAACGGCCTTTCGTTTCACAACTTTTACATGGCGTCGAAGTGGAATCGTTGTGATTGTTGTTGTCTCTCCATACGATCTTCCTTCTTCTCTCGGTAATGCAATAGAGCAACTACCATGAGCAGAATGGAACATACTAGGACAATCACTAAGATACTCTCAAACAGAAAGAATTAAAAGACGAAGCATGATTAAAGAAACCTGGAGAATGAGCTGAGAAGGTGTGACGTACAGGCGGTTAAGCCAATGAGTTCCTTCACCACTGGGAGGCATAATACTCAATCGAGAGTTGGGAACAATCTGCTTCAGTACATGTTGTCTGGAAGGTCCAGCAATACGAGCAGAATAACGTGGAACGCCAATGGTCAACTAAAATACTCAGGTTGAATCATCATAGATATCTGATGGAAAACCTCATCAACAAAGTTAGGACTTCGGCCCAAACCGAAAAGTACAAATGGAGCCATCAATGATCTGGAGAATGGAAATCATGAAACATCAGAGGAATATTTCAGTACCTGTGAGTAACAGCTGGTAGTTGACATGATGCTGATTTGAGAGATCCTCCCCAACCATCGGACATGGAGAAAGACATACAACTACCACCCCATGAAATCCCAGAACCTATTATGGATGATGAGACAATTTCATTTTATGAAACACTCACCTAATTCGTTAGAGTCTGGATTGCAGTTCTTATCGCAAACACTAGTGAAAACTTGGATTTTGAGGAAAGTTGTATCTCCTTTGTAATCACAGGGGATGAAACTGAATCTGAGCTCATCCCATTCAGTGGTATTGTATTCAACAAGTATATCAAGACTTCCGTCTTCCTACAAAGAAAAGAATTAACTGTCATTCGCAGAACTTGTGAACCTTCAGATCGAAGAAAGAAGTCATAGTTATAGTCCCTAAAGCGATATCCTTCGGTTGGATGAAAAGAGGTTTTTTCACTTCGAATTTTCTGCAAAAGTGATAATCAAATGGGTAACTAGCTACGAACTAACTTGGTTCCATTCTTCTCACAATTAGAACATGCTTGGTTCTCCAAAACGCGAGGCAAGGGGTTCTTTCCTTTCTCAATAGCAGTAACCAGAAGATCTGGATATCCATCCATAGAGAAATCACCAACGCGGAACAACACTTTACTATTCTTATCCGAGACGATCGTTAAATCCTAGAAGAACTCATTTAACTCTCACGTAATGAATAGAACTCTTACGGATATATCCAATGGATGCTTTGTCCAGTTCTTTCCCGATTGCCAAATGTAGACTTCACTGACTTTCGAGCAATCTCTTGATTCACAAATTGGTACCAACAGTTCCATAAGACCGTCGGCATCAAAATCGGCAGGAATAGGAGCACCGACATACTAAGGAGGAATGAATGAGTTAAGAGTATGATAGAGAACTGAAAACCTCAAAAATAGGAGAAGACCCCAGTGAAGGAATGGAGCTTGGTGATATTTGCCAGCCATTTTTGTATCTTCTCCATACTTGCATGTCCAGGTACCCATCCTTATCGAGCATGAGTACAATCTCAGCAAGAAGGTCTCCACCTAAAAAACAAACTGTATAGTTATAGCAAACATTGCCTTACCAAAAATGTCAACATATAAATGAGGAATGCCCTCATAAGCTTTGATTGGTTCGAACTTCCTGGAAAGGAACGGGTATGTAAGAGAGGAAAAACAAGTGTTAACTTACGAAAATAACTTGGAGCAACTTTCGTCTTTTGAGCCTGATTTATCAAACTTTTGGCAATACATTGAACCGTTTTGATAGAAACCGAACACGTCATGGAAACCATCACCATCAATATCAATGGCCTGAAGAAAGATCAAAATATGAAAAACTGGTAGAATTTGAACATACCATGGCTTGAGCTTGCAGAAGGTCGAGCACTACCTCATAATACCCGGAGTCACTACCAAACCAAACAGAGTGTTTATATTCATCATCATGCTTTGATGAAACCTTAACACATTAAATTTACAAACTATCGGATAACAACAAGTGTACCAGAACATCGAGTCTTGAATCACCGTTGAAGTCTCCCAACGAACATTCTACGATCCGATGCCCAACATGGAATGAAGAGGAGTTACGGAAAGTTCCCTCCTCGATCTGTAAAGAAGGCAGTGTTGAATCAAGCGATTAAAAGACTCACAGTTAATATTTTGTCTTCTTGTAAAAGAATAGTTAAATTCTCTCCGCGCTGTACAATGATGTCAGTGTTCCTATCATTATTAAAATCCCCGAAGCCACATACCCGGCCAGGGTTTGATGGGATGTTCTTGGCTCCAAATATTGGAAGTATAAGCCACAAAAATATCAAAAGCATAATCGCATCACTAAAAAGAATTTAAGTGTTGGTACAACAAGAAGGAGGTAAGTAAGCGATTAGCAACGCTCTGTGAAACACTAATGATGAAACAAATAGGGAAAATCTTTCTCTCAAAAAACAGAAACAATTAACAACATGGTATTATGGGCGTGGTTTAGCTGAAGATGAGTCAACATCACCAGTTCCGACAGGATCTATGAACTATATTATAAAAACATTTTTAAAGACCACGAGCAAATCTATCTTTTATTTTTGGGATAAGCTTGATATGGTCATCGGCGCAAGTTGCGACACATTTGTCAAGTTGGTCATGGAAAGCTGCCGTCTGAATAACAGGAAGTTTTAAGATTTATTTTTAAAAGTTAAAACCTGAGATTCTGTATACTTGCTGCTATCGGGCCCGAACTGCTGAACTAACTTGTCATAACAAGTCATGGCACATCGTGAAAGTTGATCCTAAGCCATGGGTTCAGTCAGCGGAAAAAGGGCAAAGCCTACCTGAAGGGTGGCCAATTCAGTCTCTAATTTGCGTTGAGCAGTCATCATGCCAGTATTACAGTTCTCAACACAGTTTTCAACTGCTTCTCTAGTGCTTTTTCTGTTGTCAACACAGCTGAAATGTGGTTATGAGACGGGCGTCATGAATCGAATATGCACCTAGCAGAGCAAAGGAACATTTTCTTTTGCATATCTCTGAGATATTTTTTATCTAAATCATCAATCATTTCATCAACAGCGTGTTTAACCTTTGCTTGGGTAGCTTCCATGGTTGATGCTGACATGTTAAAGCTGGTGCAGTTAAGATACCCTGAAAACGATTTCTATTCAAATTGAAAAAAAAAATTGAAAATCGAAAAAATATTTTAAACAAGCTTCAAACTGAAAAGATAATTTAGAAAAGAGGTGGATGGATTTATTCCAAAAAAGGCTGGTCACCTGCTTAATTTTGGAATCATGATGGGAAATTTGCAAAACTTTCGCCGCAATTGCGTACTTGTTCGTCAACTGACGTCTATAATAACAAACCGAACGGAATACGCATTACCAATTAGCATCTCCAGCATGAAGATGATTCTAAGCTTATAAAAGATTTCGCTCAAAAAAAAAATGCTTCTTGATGTTTTGATACAAATATTCATCAAATAGTTTATAGAGATTGCGTGTGAATCATCAAAGTCAAATATTACTCACATGTGCTCCTAATCGGTTTCACAATAACGTTTGAAGTCGAAAATTGCGCTGTACGTGAAATGCCACGTGAAAGCAAGCGTCATTTTGTGTTTGAACGGTTCCGAAGAGGATGTGCATGTAGTCTTTTGAGTTTTCTCTTCTTCATTTACTCTCAAATATAATTTGTTTGAACTGAAAGTAAGCTAGTTGTTTGATATAAGTAATTGTAAAGAGTGCACTCAGTATCGTGGAAAAGAGAGGCTTTTTGAACGAAAAAAAAACTTGATAACTGACTGATTAGGAAGTATAAAAATGAAAAATACTAAAATCAATAGAATAGTTTTATTTGTGTTTTGAAGCGACAACACTTTCGAAAGCTTCGTCCATCGAAACGTTTTATGGAAGAAAAGAGAGAGAGAGAGAGAGTGGTTGCGAACATACGCTTGAAGGAATGTACAATCGAAGATAAACCGTCTCTGTATAATGCTTATATGGATGCTAGAAAGGTCCAAATTAAATTTGACGTCATGTGTCTCATAGATTGAACAGAGAGCTGCTTTTCCAAGCTTCGTAGATTTCCCGAAGATAAACGTTCGATACCATCTTAAGCTATTTCTATCTTTTTCTCATTTCAAATTTACAGTGCTGAACGCTTAGAGAAGCTTCAGTTAGGTTATTGAAAGGTTCAATCCTAAACATACTGTGTCATCTAAGCGATCGGAATGCTGATCCCTGAAGACATTTGGGTTCATCTAGATATGCTGTAAAAGTAAGAGAGCCTAGTTACTGAGAGGACAGAAAAGATCTCTTCTTCTCCTGATGTTCTGATCATATAACTAAAATCTTCATTCATCGTCTTCTTCGTTCTATTGCTTTTACACTAAGAATCGAAGTCTCCCCCTCAAAACGCGGCTGTTGTCTGATGCCAACGCATTCTATTGCATTTACCAAAAGATTCATCTGTGTGTTATTGATTTCTATTATATTCAATCATTTGTTTTTCATGACTTTTTTCTTAACAAAAAAAATTTTTATAAAGCAATGAGAGACCTTGAATACAGCGGTCGAAGATTGCTGACCAAGTTCTGCTTGATTAGATCCTTCTATTGATCGCTTTTATTTTTTAAAATATCATTTTGATGAGAAATGTTGTTGTGTTGAGAAGAGAATTTCAGATGATGTCTATCCTTTATGTTTCTTCTTTTAGTATTGATTTGCATCTCTTTTATGCACACACACACCACCCTCATCTCTCATATCCATCCTCCCCCCCTTCAATGTATACAACCCTTTGACCTTTCCTTCTCTCTTCCTTATAAGAACATCAATTAGATTTCTGATTATTCTTTTTTTTTCACACGTTATCCTTTCAGTTACAATCTTAGGCAATTCAACCTCTGAGGAGGATATATCTTAATCGAATATGGCTCTTTCTGCACATTATCATCAGCACAAACCCAATGTGCCCATCATTATGGAAGATGTTTTCGGATGGGTGCGTGAGGGAAATGCTTTTCAAGTTCGAGTTTGGCTTGATGATCATGAACACGATTTGAACATCGGGTATTTCTTTGTAAATCATACTATTTTTTCGAATTTAATAATTAAGAGATGATCACGCTTTCTCACTCCTTCATTGGGCTTGTAAGGAAGGTCATGTGAGCATTGTTGAAATGCTTTTGACACGTGGAGCTCGTGTAAACAGTACCAACATGGGTGATGACACAAGTCTCCATCTTGCTGCTGCACATGGACATCGTCAAATAGCTCTTGTAAGCCAACAAACTTCCTCAAATATTCATTCTGCTCTTCTCAATATAGAAATTGATATCTCGAAAAGCTGATGTTAATGCCACCAACGAGCATGGTATGACTCCACTTCATTATGCCTGCTTCTGGGGTTTCGAACAGATCGCTGAGGTAACGATTACCTCTTTATCTTTTCGTCATTTACATAAATCCATTTCTAGGATTTAATACAATCTGGTGCTTTGATTGGTTCCTGCAACAAGCGCGGACAAACTCCTTTGGATATTTGTCAACCTCAATGCCGTGCTAGTGTCATCGGTAAATTTGTATCCACATCTGTTCACAAGTTAGAACATTAAAGAAATTGCCAAAGAGAACGGCCAGAATGCCAACGAACGTATTCCATTCAAAGATGAGTCTTGGAGAGGAACAAGAGCTAGAACTCGTGACGCTACTTTGAGTCGTTATACCGGAGTTGATGTTAGCTCTCTGCATTTATCCACCAAAGTAAGTTTCATATTCCGAATCTTCTAACTGTATGGCACTATCAGATTGCTGAGTCCCACTCTGGTGAACTTTGGAGAGGAAAATGGCAAGGAAGTGACATCGTGGCCAGAATCTTAGCTGTATCTGAAGTCACTCCAAGAATCTCTCGAGATTTCCAAACCGAATTCCCACATCTTCGGTACTTTTCATTCGCCATTTCATTATGTTAAACGCACTGTCTTCAGTATCTTCGCCCATTCGAATATATGCCCAGTTCTAGCAGCTGCGAATCAACCACCATCTCTGGTAGTCATCAGCCAGTTTATGCCATTCGGAAGTCTTTACAACGTTTTACACGAACAAAGCTGTAAGCTCCACTTAAAAAAATAGGAAAACTTACTTTGTATTTAGCTGTTGTCATCGATCATAACCAAGCTCTTCGTTTCGCAATTGATATTGCTCGTGGAATGTCTTACTTGCACAGTCTTGATCCTGCTATCCTAAGGTTTCATCTTTTCTCATCGCTCATCTCAATTTGATTTTGCTTCAGATATTTCTTATCTTCAAAGCATGTTGTTATCGACGAAGAGCTCACAGCTAAGCTTTCAATGGCTGATACCAAGTTCTCTTTCCAAGAAGTTGGAAAGTGTTATTCACCAGCTTGGATGAGTCCAGAAGGTCAGTATTGTTCTACATAGTTTTGACTTGAAAGATGCATTTAAGCTCTCACAAGAAGTCCCGAAGATTTGAATATCAGAGCCGCTGATATGTGGAGTTTTGGAATTCTTCTCTGGGAGTTATACACAAGAGAAGTTCCTTACGCTGACTTGCCACCTATGGAATGTGGAATGAAGGTTTGTGAAAGGAAACTAACGTTTGATAATCATCTTCGGTTGTTACAGATTGCCTTAGAAGGATTAAGAGTAACTATTCCTCCCGGAATCGCTAGAAATATGAGTCGATTAATGAATATCTGCTTGAACGAAGACCCAGGTCGACGACCAATGTTTGATCAAATAATCCCAATCTTGGAGAAGATGATCAATTAACAATCGTGTTCAAACATGTTCCCCCTCCTATGTAACGCTTTAAATGTTTTGTAAATACTCAAAGTTGCCATCAAAACGTATATTTAGTCTCAAATTTACCCCTTATTAGTATACACCACTGCTGATATATTCGGTGTTAAATCTCTCTATAACTCTCAAAATGGCGAGGCCTTATGACTTTAAAACGCATTTATATGTTAAACGTGCTCAATTTGTAATATTTTATGCGGGCTATATATGGCCAATTAATAATAAACAATTAACTTACAACAATCGTTTGTAAATTCAAATAAGTTACTTTACTTCGTAGCAGTTTCACGCATGTAGGGAGTGTATCGGATTCCCATACTTTTCAGATCAGAAATGAGAGCAGAAGGAAGAGATCCAGACACTGAGACAGCATACATCCCTCTAGTTTTTCTATTAATCTTCTGGAAAAAAACAAACGATCGATAAAATCAGGAAGATGTGCTATACGAACCTGCCATTTGCTAACCCAAGAATCTTCAGGCTGCATAGCAGCGATCATTCCATCGAAGTTGGAGCTATAAGAATGATTTTCTTCTTCTTGCTTGCTTTACAATATAATACCTTGTGCATTCATATATCTTATCGGAATCTCCTTTCAAATGTAATGCTCGCTCACAGTTCTCACACCCGTCTTGTTCGAATTGATCGATAGTTTTTATTAAAGAGCACAGTAAGCAAGCTCTGAGGCCACGGAGATCGCGAGGTATGGTATCCACAGACATCCTGAAAGTAAAATGTTGATGAACTACTATCAAACTGCGGTCACAGGACTCGTTGTTAGCGAAATTCACCAAGATCTATATTGCGGAACTAACAGACAAATCGAGTAATGAGTACAGAAATGTGTTGAAGCCCGCGACTCGATAGGAATCGAACCAAGAAGACCTACCTTATAACTAAGTCACAACCAAGACACCAGTATGACACAATATATAAAAGAGAGAGAAGTTGAATAAAGATGAATTGGGCAGTCTAAAAAGAAACAAATATAAACAGTTTGTTATACTATTACTAGTGGCACTAGTGGCACAAGTAGCACGAGTAGTACAAGTATTACTAGTAAACAGTACTCGAAGTATGAACCGGATAGAAACCGGTAAACGTTCATAAAACATTTCGATATTAATTGAGCTTTACATACTTTGTTACATATTTGCAAATGTTAAAGCATTAATCCTACATAATGACATGGAATGGATTGAACAACAACAGTGCTTGAAAAGAACAATTGAGAACTGTAGAAAACAGCTAAAAATATCAAAAAATGTCAATATGAAAAGACAACAATATTAACACAATTATACCAGTATCGTTTGACGCTTCTTATTATTCATTAGAACTGGTACCAGGTACCTTTTCATCATTGCTAGTTAAAGGAATTGATCGATCCAAATGGTTCACCACCTGGGATAAACTTGATTCCATTAGCTCCATAGCACCATCATCAGATAGAGTTTCCATTTTTTCTTTTAAACGCTTAACCAATGATAATGAGTTTCATTCGAAAACATTTTGTAATATACCTGCATCATCTGATTGATTCGAATCTTTCTATCACATTCCGTCTCATCTTCTACATTTGCAGATGAAGATGGATAATGGAGACTACTCAACGACTCTTCCACAATCTAAACAACTTGAATAAGCTCGCGTTGCAAAGTTCGAACTACCTGCATTGCTTCTGGGCCTTCAATAATCTGTTCTTCAATTATGACCTCTTCTACAATTTCTTCTCTGTCTTCAGCAAATTCTTCTAGCTTAATTGCTGCCAAAGATGCGTTCTGATCGAGTCTAAAGAAGCGGATGAGAAATTTATGAAAATAAGAATAATCTTACTCAGCCTGGCATGTTCCCACTAGAGAACCATCGGCCAACACGTTACCTGGATCTCTGAAAGTAAGATACAAATAGATTTGAAAACTAGAACGATTACTTACACATCCTCATATAACTGAGGTACCACCCTCATAGGTTCAACTGCACCAGTCGAATATACATCTGACATCTGAAGAGTACAAGTTTATATAAAACAACGTTCGAAACAGCATACCGCAACACTATTGAACTCTAGGATTCGTTGAAATATCAAGGCTATATATTCATCTACTCGCGAGCAAATTTCGCAGTTTAAATATCGTTCCCGGAACATTCTGAAACCATATTATATTAAGAAAGCAAACTATTTTTTTTCATCTCAACGATCTTTGCGAGTGAGCAATGTTCATTTTAGTTTTGCCGTGCATGCGCCGCAAGCTTTCGCGCCCAGAACGAACTTCATTTTCATTCTTGATCGCTTGTGAGCGGCGCGCACTACAATAATTTTCATTTTCATGCACACACCGAGAAAGCGGTGGTGCTCGGAACGAATTTCATTTTCATTCTTTATCGCTAGTGAGCGGCGCGAACAACTATTATTTTCATTTTCATGCACACACCGAGAGAGCGGTTGTTTATGAACTGGACACTAGCCCGAAGGGAAATCATTGCGCAAGCAGAGGATCAGAGAGAAAACATTATGAAAACGCTCACCTTGAGGCTATTTCAAGGATAGGATTATGGTGTGCTGTTAAAGGATTCCGTAGCAGAGGAGTCCATCTGAAACAGTAGCTTAAGTAAGCATAAAAAGATGATACCAACCTTTTGGAGTATTCAGGATCGGTTAGCTGCAAATCGATTGATTGAGCAAGTTCATCGAGCTCCATTTCTCGAAAAGCTTCAAAAAGGTCGATAATCATAGCTTCGAATAGAGTTGGGTCAGAGGCTCTGAAAAACATCATAGAGAACCTATTTAAAATATAAAATGAAACCTCAACCAACGACGCAATGCACATAATATAGAGAATTTATCTACTCTATTAACAACCATTTGATCCACTTGATTTGCCCAATCAAGAAGGAGGTGCCACTCTGCGATTTGCACATCGGTGTTATAAGAAGTTTCTCCAAAGATTTGATCAATTAGAACTGGCCATTCAGGTGAGCAGTCGGTAACGAACGTCTCAATAGGGCCTTTCCTACTGGAAAGAAAATCTTTGAAACTAATATAGAGTTAACACGAACATGGAAGCTAACTGGCGCAGAAGAGCCGTTTTATCCGTATGCTGCGAGATGTACACACAGGCACATCTTGGGGTGTCCGTTTGATCGAAAACCAGAACGAAACTTAAACTAACATCCCAGTTAGAAATCATGAGGCGAACCTGTAATTAAAGAGTAAATGAAAAATGGTGATTCTAACAACGAACCTCTTCAATGCAAACGGCTCTATGACTGAACTGATTCCAAAGATTTTTCATGTCATCAGTCATAATACCAATAGAAAAACAATCAGGCCATGCATTTCCTTTCTCATCAATCAAATTGACATTGAAAAATGATTCAGGTGCAAAAGAGCCAGAAGTCTGAACACACCAATGATATGGTAAATAGAAACAAAAACTTACAGTAACTAAATTGTATAATGAAAGAATCTCATTGTCAACATTGGAAACAAACTGTTCAAGTTGTTCTGAAGAACGTGGTGTCACACCAAAGCCATCGGCTGTATAACCCTCCATATCTAAGAACATCATGTTATTATATAGTTACAACTTAAGCTCAACCTCGTAATCTGTCTATCATAAGTTCCAGAGGAGTATCATCATCTTGTATGTACAAATATTCGTCCATCACTTCTCGCTCAGAAGGCGACAATCGAAGAAGTGCAGTACCCATTCTATGTCCTGTGTGTTCTACACAGCCCACAACTGTAAGTCTACCATCCGTCCAATGAACAACCTGAACATGATGATTAGGAAAATCTTGAGCTATTCTTCTAACCCGGAGAAATGCAGCACAGTTCCTCCCGCATTTATTGATAGTACGGAAACACCTTCTCTTGGTGTATTCCGAGACATACGGCACAGAAGATCGAGCTCGCTTTGGTCGATAGCCACCGCTTCGAGAACAGTATAAATACAAAACTTGGTAGAGATCAGTCTGCTTAATTCCCATCCGTTTGACATATTCAACGGAAAATGATTCTTGGACGGCATCGAACCACTCCTGAGAATCATAAGCGTTTAAAGCAATTCTCAATAGATCTTACTTCATAATCTCGAACGTCAGTGAATTCTCTTTGAACAATTCCTCCAATGCGATGCTCACAAACCATATGATCAACAAATGCTTTGTGAGAAGGACATTGTACATTACAATCACAACAGGGGAGCTTGAAAGATTATATATATAACAAGTGTAAATGTGTAAACCATACATTTCTCTGGGTATAAACCGGGTTGATGTAGCCTGGATGTTGTCGCTTCATGTGAGCAGCTCTGGTAGAACGAGATGCTCCTCGCCAACCGCAAGAAGGTTCATGACACACGTACTTCCCATCAGGCATGAAACCTCCTACGGGAGCTTTCTTTCTCATTGGTTGGATCTCTGGATGCGAAACTTTCATATGAGTCGAACGAGACGCCCTAGATATAAGCATAAGTTTGAGAGTGGGATGAAACAATGTACCTGAAGTTCCCTTTCCACGAACAACCTTCTACTAAGCAAGAATATTCGGGTTCAAAGTGGGTCGGATCTAAATATGATCCCTCCCGAGATACTCTCTAGAAAACAAAAAAAATTAGAAGCGTTTCCATTTTGTTCACTTACATGTAAAATATATCTGGGTGGCAAAGTCCAATCCTTATGACACCATTTCATATGATCGGCTCTGATAGAGCGATAACCTCCTCTCCAGTTGCATTCCGGTACGTAGCAACGATAAATGCCATCAGGATCACTGACTCTAACTTTGGAATTAGGTCCAGGTTCCTGATAATTAAACGAAGGTAACAGTTGTTTATTTTCAAAAAACTCACTGAGCCAGGCGGATTTCTCGGTCGCCCTCTTTTCCTCTTCGCTTCTCTTGCAGACTCTTTCATTGAATTCTTCTAGAAGGATCAATATGAATAGAAAACCAAATAGCGTAACATACTAATTTGGTCAACGAACTCATGTCTTCGGTCAAGTTCGCATCTTCAGCACAGAGATCAATCATGGTAGGTCGGCTCTTATTAACTAATTCATCATCCAACTCGCGAGGAACATGTACTATCTCATCAGGCGGTTCTAACTTGGGTTTAACCAAAGGAGGAAGCTCTACGATACTCTGCAACAGCTTGTTCTTTCTCGGAATAGGTAATGTTCACAAACTTTTCTGTTATAACGACTCTCTACTTTCTTTGTCTTACTAGCTCCATCTCCTTCTTTATATACATAGCCCGCATGATTAGTTCTCAAATGATGATTTCGTTCTAAACGTGTACTAGCAACAATATCACAGAGCTTCACTGGACAAGGATAATAATGTGAAGCTTCGTCACTATAAAGAGTAACATACACAATACAACTCAAACTAGCACTAACTCAATTGGTAATCGCTGAAGAGCAGCAGATCTTCGCTTCCTGCTTTCATTTCCAAAATCCGTAACCTTCACAGATTGTTTATACTTAAGTGTTTGAGACAAATCTACCTTAATCTCAGCGTCCAGAGAAGACCCAGCCGCGTCCTCTACTGAAACACCCAAGGTAACCCAAATTTTATCAATTTTTCACTCACGTGGTATCAAATGAGAAGTTCCTTGCTCTGCTAAACAAGTGGATGAAGCTTCTACGTTTAACTGTGTAGCAGAGCGAGGCATTGTGAACCTCTTCTGCGAACCTCCCTAAAGAATGAATATAACGAAAGTAAATCTCATAGAAGCTGGAGTCCATATTTGCATCAATATCTATTTCTTACCGTGTATGTACCTACTCATTTTTTCTTGTTACAGCTTATAATTATTTGATGCTTCTTCAGTAAGAAGATAAAACAATAATTTGAAAACCTACGTTTTTTACCAAATAACGTTGTCGCAGGGTGTAAAAATGTTAGATCTGTTGGGAATTCAGTCGCTATTTGAAAAGCGCAAACATTTCGCAATGGAGCGTTGTTCAGACAGCGCGCTAACTAAGTCGCTTAATGAATTTTTCTTCAAGCGTTAAAAATAGTTTTCATAAATATATATTCAAATCTTTCATATTTTTAGGATTAAATGTCAATTGCTTATATTTCACGCCTAGTGGGCAGTATATCATTAGCAAATGAAGTTGCAACAGTTCGTTCTATTCATACTTCCGCTGCTTCATATTCAGTGTTCATGAAAAGACAAAAGAAAATTGACCCTGAGGTATCTTGTTGTCATTGATAGAATTTAAAAGTCCCTCGGTTTAGGTTGCCAAACAACGAGAACAACGCAGAAGGAAACGTTTAGAGAAAGAGATTAGACAAATGCAAAAACACAGTAAAAAACCTAAGCCTGTTAATGAATTGACTCTCGATGTTAAGTCGGCCAAAAACATTCAGTAATACTATGAAGTAGAGCGTTTTCATCATTCTGAGATTTCAGTGAAAGATACAGACCACAATTAGAAGTATCAAAGGACGTAGTAGATGAAAGAGCTGTAGTATTGAAGGTTCCTCACTTGCTTCTAACTCTTACCTTAACACCTAATCCAGGAATATAATAAAAGCCGTAACAGTCTTCAGTTACTTGATGATGCTTACATCAGGAAGTCAATTAAAGCACAAGAAAAAGCTTTGAGTGAGTTAAAGGCGATTTCTCCAGAACTATATGCTAAGGTGAGCAATGTTAATGCAAATGCTATGAATTTTCGTTTGTTGTTCAGGCCATACAACCATCAGAAAACCTACCTTTCGTATTCGAAGGTCCATCATTAACCCCACCAATTCCTAACTATGAATCTCCCGATGGTGACTACATTGATACTACCCGTACATGGGCATAAGTTGTTATTAGACAATGAAAGATAGGATTTCGAGTTAGTTCTGTTGTATTTTTATATTTATTGTTGACAGTTTTGAATTTATTTTGATTCGATTATGATTATTATGAAGATCTTTATCTGCTAGATGTAATAGCCGAAACAAGTGCATATCCGAATCCCACATCAGATAAAGCTAGGCTATCAATTCTGGAATTATAAGTTGCTTATTCAACGAAGTTTTTCTTAGCGTCCCCCACCCTCTTCCTCCCCTTTTGAATAGTTGAAACATTTTTTTCTTCGAAAAAAGGGAAAGTTTCAATAGGTTGTAAGGCTGTATGGCAAAGTGCTTAGATGCCAAGGCCAAGTGAAAGTGGAATAACAGTGAGAAGGGTTTGGTTAAAAACTAGCTGGGAGATTAGTTAGACACCTGTCTATTCAATTCCTAATAGTGTGACCTTCTGAAGCGGGCTTCCTCCAACATTTTTCTTTATTATACATATAACTGATCCTTCATCAGACGTTTTATCTAGATCCCAAGGAACAAACACTCTGCTGGGCATCCTCTCGTCTGGTTGCCATCCATAAACGATATGCAGGTTTTGAAGAACAAGCATCAAATCATCAAAAGAGACTCCGCCTCTGCTTCTTGTTATTACGCAATGGTAGCCGCAGATCTTCAGAACTGTAGAGGAAGCCCTCAGGGCTGCCAATGAATATCCTTTTGTATCTCCTCGCTTTATCATCTCTTAGTCAATGTTTAGCTGAACTATATTTAAATGAACTAACTGCTTCTAATCAACATGTAGCGGCTGATGCACTACCGCCTCACACAAGAACTAAAAGATATGGTTCGTTTAGAAATTCCTCTGTTTCTTACTATGTTAGATGTAAAGTATTTAATTGCCTGTTTTCCTACTCTCTTCATCTCTCTCTCTCTCTATGCCAACTGTCAATTGTCTTCAAATTACTTTCGGAATGACGAATTCCCTGACGTGTTTGTAGCGTTTCTTCTCACTATCAGGGTATCAAATGAAACATTTCCGAAACATCTAGTCAGAAAACAACAACAACATAACAAACCAATAGAACCTGTATCATATCTTTCAGTCGTACGAAAGAAAAAGTGGAATAAAAACTTGCTTACCTGGAAGCTAGACCCTATAAACATAGGGGAGGCAGATACTTACATCGTGAGGTTCGTATTGGTCACTAGTTCTCAACCGAACCCATATTGCTGTAGAAATACTCTGCATCGAGCTTTCAATGAATGGCAGGGGGTTTCCTCTGTGACGTTCGCAGAGAAGACGGAAGGAAAGACAGATCTGACCGTCAGCTTCCAGAAGAATAAGCATGATGATCCCTATCCTTTCGATGGAAGAGGTATTACAACCAGTTCACTGCGAGATGGCAAAACAATTTTAGACGGAGTTGTTGCTCATGCTTTCTATCCCAGAGATGGACGTCTTCACTTCGATGCTGATGAAGATTGGACATTGAACTCAGATAGCGGAGTGAACTTATTCCAGGTAAACTGAAAACTGAACAAATTACTTTGGGTTAGAGATGTGTGCAACCAGTTGTTCTGTCTGCATTTGATAAAAATGAAACTTAATTCAGACAGCAGTACATGAAATCGGTCATCTGCTAGGATTGGAGCACTCTACCGATCCGCGAGCAGTGATGTACGCTAGCAAAAAACCCTTCACTGCAGAGTTTTCGTTGAGTAAGTCCCGTTGTTGTTTCCTCACAATAGCATTTCTTCTCAGGCGATGACGATGTTCGTGCGATACGAAAACTGTTTCCTGTGAAAGGAGAAAGTAGTGAAGTAGATTCTAAAAGCGACAACGTACTCTACCCAGTTGTAGTTGAGAACTTGGAGAAAAAAAGTTCGACAGCGAAAGCTGAGATAAAAGGAACAGTCGCTGAAACCGCAATTTACGTGAGTAGACTGTTTGTAAAAACAGAAAATAGTTCTGGCTTCAGAGTCCTTCGTTCGATGACAGCATGCTTTTCCCTTTCACATTCGGCACACTGGATACTAATCCAAATGACCGAAAGTTTGTAATTTAGTCTGAATCTCCGTGGCGTAAAACTAAAAAACTCAAAAACGGGTCTCATTCAATGATTCGCTCTATTTATCATATATTTATTATGTATTTATTAAAAAATTATGCGTGTAAAATGCTGCACATAAACTATTTGATGAGCTTTGATGCGAATGGCAATTATGCGAATATGATATAACAAATTGAGCTACCTTATTTGGAAATAACAGTAGGAAATGCTGATACTAGTCACCAACCAAAATATTAAAGAAACTCTCCTTTTTTCCCGGCCTCCACCATGCTTTGAACGTCAGCAATGATTGACTTAGCTACTTCTTCCGCCACCTCTTCTTCCCGCATGGAACTTTTGTCCAGATATTGTTTCAACTTAAGTTTCAACTTATTCGGAGAACGATTGTCTTGCATGAAAGAGTAATCATATAGAGGACGATATCTCCCCATATTATCAATTTCTGCCAAGTTTCTGAAACGTCCGTCATGATTACTATCACTCGCATGGAACTGACGTTGTTCGCGGAGAACGGGGACTGTTCGTCTGAGAAGAAGTTTGAACTTGTTCCAGAAGTTGACAATGTTTCCGAAAAGTAGACGGCAGAGAGTCTGAGGATCCCGTCGATCCGTTTTTCGAACGAGTTTTCACATGACGTGGGAATTCAACCTACAATTACAATCAGAGTCTCAACAAAAAAGAAAACGTACTGTATTTTCAATCTGTGATCTCAGATCTTCAACATAACTCGTGAAAACTGCCGAACTTACGAAACTGTTCAAATATTTCTGAAAATGGAACAAACAGCAAATTATGTAGACGTTTATACTGTTTACTTTTTGTAACTCAGAATATACACAATTATATGCAGCCTTGAAAGCAGTCAACTCAGGTTTTCCTGTGTCCGAGCAGATGGCCGACTCTATAGCCACTCTTCGACGATCTCCAACATCGATTGGATTAGGTGATTGCATCGAAAAGAATCTGAAACCAAATTATAACCATAGAAGCTATAAGATAGTTAACCTCTCATAGAGGGCCAAAGCATCTTTAGTTGCTTCTTCAGGCGAAAGCTCACAATAGTCATTCTCGAATGACTCACAAGCAATCATGAATTGAATTCGTTCTCTTTCGAGATCTGTTTCAAGAACTTCCATGAAAGATTGCAGCAAAGGTTGAATATGTAAAACATCAGATAATGTACACCCGTTTGAGAGAACTTCCAGCTCATGTTTTTTATAGAACACACTCGATAAGAATTCTTCAAAATATCTGAAAACTCATTGGTCCACTATACTAGCTATCTCACTGAGATACCTTAAATGAAACAGACTTTTGACAAAAGATTGAGCTTGATCGAAGCAAGTGATGCTGAGAGGCCGTTTCATCACGTTTTCTTGAAATAGAAGAGCATTTGCATTTCGAGAATTGTGATATACCTTTGGTTTGTTTGACAATTTTTTGAGGTAGGGAAAGGGAAGAGAACGCTGTCTCTTCTATATACCTTTCATAAATATTATTGGCATCGATGACACTCACTAAAGTCAAACATTAGATTGGAAACTTCGAAGGGATTTACGAGATTGAGCAACATCAACGCTGGAATCACAGAAAGAGGCTTTGAAACCTTCGACATGCATCCAGAATTTGATCAGGGATAGCTTATCTACAACATACGGCCTTTATACTACAGTACAAGACTTCAAACTACCACAGAATTCGAGGAAATGAATGAAAAAAGAGAGGGCTGATGAATCGTTAAGCAGACGATCCAGTGAGTAGGCTAGACTCACTGAATCCTCCACCAACTCCTCATTATCTTTGGCATTTCCTGAAAAGGGTTCATTGATTCGCCTCTCGTCCATCACTCACCCGACACACCATTGTTCGCAGCGCCAAGATCAGAAGAATTACCCAAGTTATTTTTGGTGAATTTAGGAACTAAAACATTTGAAGACTTTGTGATAAACATAAACTGGTTTTTACCTCGAATTTTATCCAGAAATGAACTCATCTATTCATCATAGACAAATCACGGCCATCAATTAAGCCTATAAGATGTGCTAACTTGCTTGTGACTCAAAAAAATTTTGAAAAACAAAATTCAGAATAGAACAAGAGTTATATAATCATATTCAACGAAATAAGAAGCTTTGAGGATGTCTCAAGCAGTCGTGAGACTTATCTCAACTTCCTTTTAAGGATGCACTGCGTTTACAAACAACCCTGCATCGATGCGGCTTTATGGAAAAGATTATATTAGATATGCCACAATGATTTCTCGAGCTTCAACTAGTTCTTCCTGTAATCAAAGACCTATTTTGGTAAGTGGATTGATGAATATGTTTACTATTTGTACTACTTTAGCTTATCGATAATGTACAACTTAAAGAAGAAGAAGAGGATGAGTGCTATGAGTTAATGGAAGATGAAGAAGATGACGAAGTAGGATATGAATCACAGCCACGAGAAACGAATGAATTTGAATGCTTAGAGGAAGGTACTGTTGTCAATTCTTTTCTTTTTCATTCTATTAACGTTCAGTCAATTGTTCAACTGAAGGAACTGATCGCAAACCGGCGTGTTCCATATGTGGACGATCTTATTCGTCCAAATATTTACTATTCAGATGGCCTGTGGACCATAGGATGAGAATAACATGGTATTTTCTTATTTTCTCAGTGTTTTTTTAATTCAAATTCATCAGGGCCGCTGAAATAGGTTTGCGAGAGGCTCCAACTGACGATAATGCCTTCATATGTGCCATTCACTTTTCTTCATCAGATTTTTCTTTCATAAATGGAAGAATATTCTGGGAGAAGGGATCTTTTCCAAGATATAAGAGTAGTAGACCATCAAATGAACCTCCTTTCCCCTGGGAAAGACAAAGGACAGAGTACCCAGTAAGAGCTTCTTCATACGTTGTAATATCTATCCGTTGCTTATTAGAAACCAAATAGGACTGAAGCCAAGCTTGTAGTTGATCATAGTAATTATCAAGTCAGTTATAGGAGATCGTTTTATAAGAATAAGGTTTGTTTGAAGTCTTAGAGTATGTGTCTAACACGGTATTCCCCTTACAGAGAAGAAACTCTCACGAGGTAGCTGTTATTTCAAAATTAGACACGAACACATATTTGGAATTTTCTTACAATAGGACTTCGCAATTAGATGGAACGAAATTCTATTCATGTCTTGGTTGTCGAAAAGCCAAAGCAGAATGTATGCCAAAACAATTGAATTGAAGACTTCTGTTTGTTTCAGCTGATGTCAAAGATGTTATTCGAACTATTCATATCGACGGAACTGCGATTTTAAGTAAAGATGATCCTTTCTATGGCCATCACTACGCTTGTTTCCCAATCCAATCGGAACCTCACCTTAAGTAAGAACAAACTTGGCTGTCAACCTTCTATAACTTGTTTTCAGAAACTATAGACCTGCCATTCCTCAACCTATGCATATGGATATGGGTGTTGTTTATGCCTCAGGAGATGTCATTTATGTAGATGAGGAGGTGAATCCCAACGAGTCTGTTTGGGATTCTGTAGGTAAGCAGTTTGCACCCGTTTCTCCGGAGAATCCTCTGTTCAGATAACTCTAGTCTTATTAATTTGGATGAAATTCCTTTCTATGGTGAGCTTTCGCAACAAACGAAAGAGCCACCACCCAAACAAAGATCTCGTCCAATACCCAAACAGAAAGTAAGAAACTTGTTGTGATGCCCCCTGATTTTTTTTTCAGAATTGTAATGAATGGAAAAACCGAAAACCCAAATGCCATCTTTGCTTTCTCGTTCTTCCATCTACCCTTCAATTAATTAAACATTTAGAAAACCATGTGAATAACCCCGTAAGGTGTCGGAAATGTGAACACAAGTATGATCAAACATGAAATCACTTAACTTACTCATTGTTCAGAATTCCTGTTGATCATCTGCCTAATAGGATCTTTCCCGTGTGTAAAAGCTGCAAACGAAAAAACAGAGAACGGACTTTATTGAGCAGATCATAGAATTAAATGTTCACCCCGAAAATTGAGACCAAGAAGAGATCTTATAATTTAAAAATTTATGGACCAGGCAATGCGTTAACTCCTCGTCCATCACAAGCCACTATTTTCACTCTAAACACCATAGGATTAATAAAGATAATAATTTTTTGTTTTACTTGTCAATGGGGCCATCGATGAATCTGTTTACATCTCGAAACTCTACTCCATCCATTACAAACGTCCAAACATTGTCGCAGTAACGATAAGTCACAAGTTTGTCAGCTTTGAAATGAACCTAAAAAGCTTTCTCATGGACGAACGTCCCCGACGAATTGAATGATAAACCTTATTTTTAGCTCTGTTGGCTAAAGCTTGATTGATGTTTCTATCAAACGTACTCATAACCCTGAGTGCCAGTTGCTTGGTGATGAGACCTTCCTCAACGAATTCATCAAGGGTACGACTCAAGGCCGTGCCCAAGGTGGTCTCCCTGTACATTATATAAGCAGCCGCCATCTGAACAATTCAACGATAAACTGGAAAACTAAAAAAAAGGAAAAAAAAATAAGACGAATGCTTCGAACATTGTTAGAAAACTATGGAAAGAATTGTTCAGAAAAGTTTATTAGTTGGAAATATAAAATTTCGAATCACGACGATTGCGAAGAACGAAAAGTACGATGACATATTGGATTGCTATCACAGATTTCAAGTCGAAAATTTAATTCTTTATGACGACATGGTAATAATGCTATAATGCTCTTTTCGAGAACACATCAAGTGATTGCACTTCTGTTCCGCCATATGAAAGAGACTCGAATAGGTCGTTCACATTCACCTTTTCATAGGAGTGATCGTCATCCTTTCTAGTTTGCACCTTTTCTGCTCGTCTTCCGAAGGCAACATATGAATTGATGCCACCGTGAGAATCCTGAAACACAATACTTGTTCGGTAAAACTTTTAATTCTTGTATTACCTCACGATATATACGCTCTAAAGTTCGTGCTTCTATGTGCGGCCGTTCACACAACCATTTTTCGTCTTCTGAGTCTACATCGTAATCAGGCTCTTCCTTATCTAGTGATAACCAAGCTAAAAACAACAAATTT